ATTAAAGGGCATTTATCTGTAAAAGAAAGTAATATAATTATTAATCTGTGCCTTTCCGGTACAAGTTTGGAGCAAGAAATGGAAGAGGAGGAAGGATGTGAGCAGTTGTAAAGTGAGCCTTCACTACTCCTGACCACAGGCACAGCCCCCTTCCAAAGAGCGTCATATAAAGTAATCCCTTCTAGAGCTAGAAGAGACCATCCAAGAAAGAGACCATCTGCTGGTTAACACGGACCTCTAAAACAGGTCCAGTGGACTCACCAAGAGTAAAATACAAATCAAAGCCAACGGTTAGCAGCACTGAGCAACACTATAGCCAAGCACTCTTCCATCCAGTTTGGGATCTTAAAGGTACTGAAGTATTTTAAATATATTACAATACAAGATTCTTAGAGGTCTAATAACCATGCAAGGACTGAAACAATATACAAAAAACAGAAAGAACCTCCAATCCTCAAAGTTTAACATTCTACTTCTTACTCAGAACTCCTGTCTCACATAATTTCTCAAAGGAAGGCCAAAGGCAGAGCCCTTTCTATATAGAAATTTTCCTTAAAGAAAAAAATTAAAGTATCATAATTATCGAACAGGGAGATAAAAGTTAAAAAAAAAAATCTATGTATTTTAAGCACCAACAGTGTGTCCCGTGAAAAAATGTAATGGAATTTTTACCTTCTAGTCAGGTACACAGCTGAGGCACAGACCATGTCATGCCATGTTCTGAAAACTCTCTGATCTTAATTCATTCATATATAATATATCTACACATATATACATCTGTATATAAAATACATACATATAATTGCTTATTACATATAGATACAGGCATATACACCCATATATATGTATGCGCCCACCCATGGAGTTTGGTTTCTACTGCTCATCTTACCTGGAACTACTCTTAAGCGCCTGGGCCTCGTCCAGTACCATGTACTGCCACTTAACCCGCTGGAAATACTTCACATCCTGTACCACCAGCTGGTAGCTGGTGATAACCACATGGAAGGGGGCATCCTGAGTATAGAGGGTCTTCTGTAAATATAAGAGGGGAATGGTGAATAGAGAGACCTAACAATTCTTCTAAAACAATGACATATAGACTGTATTTCCTAGGGACAAGAAGTTCAAGATAGGCTTCAAGGTGTGTTTCTCCCACATGGGAGGGATATGTGCAGTGAAGCAAATGTTTCAAAACCAGTCATCTCTGTAACAAATTGTGTAACTGATCTCTAGCTTATTTAAAAAATGTCTTTTTAGGGCCGGGGATTTAGCTCAGTGGTGCTACCGCCTGTCTCCCAAGCACAAGGTCCTGAGTTCCATCCCCAGTACCAAAAAAAAAAAGACTACATGTATGTACGGATGCTTGTAAGTATGTATGTATACAGGAAGCTGAAAGTTACCTGACTCCAGAACCTCCTGATGACTTTTCTATCATGAGGATTTCCCCAATATGGTAGCACCTGGAAAAAGGATCAATATATACATTATTTCTTATTGATAATCTTAAAAATAGCATTACAGGGCTGGGGGGTTTCGCCACCTGCCTCGCAAGCGCAAGGTCCCAAGTTCGATCCCCAATACCAAAAAAAAACAAAAAAACAGCATGACAAATATTTTATTCAGAGTGATTTAAAAAGAAGCTAATTGAATGTAGGAGTTTCTCTTCTGGTAATGATGAACTACGTAGTTTGAGCAATACTCTTGCTGAACAAATACACACACACACACACATATAAACACACACTGTATATGTTTGAAGGCATCAGAGAGTTACTGAGGCAATGGAGAATTACAGAGGCAAGAACTATAAAAGGAAGCCCAAAGAGGTAAGGACAGTATGTGGTACTCTTCCCTCTGACTTAGAATGCCAGATCCTGTTAATAAGGTAGAGTAGGAAACACTGTAATGTTTTTATGAGCCTGCCTTTCCCTAGGATGGCACTGGGCAGCAGCATTCACTATATTTTTGGCCAAACCCCATAAAGACAGAAAATAGAATCTGAGAACTGCTTCAGAAAGTGGCAAAAAGAACCAGGATGAGTGTAAAGGGGATTAATGGTAATCTGTCATTTATTGTAATACATTTTTTTAAACCAACATGCACCCTATTTTTCAATTATCCTCTGTATCTTTGACTATAACCATGAATCTGAGAAGAATTTCCAACTATGTTCTACCAAGAAATGAACATATTTCCAATTATCTATGTAATGGCAATAGAAACAATGTCTCAACTACTACTGGGTCAGCAAACTTTTGCTGTAAATATTCTAAGCTTTGTACTCCCTTCCATCTCTGTCAAAGCTCAGCTCTACTGCTGTTGTGCAAATAAGTCATAAGTAGTCAAGAATAGGGTGGCGGGGTTCCAATTAGATACATATTTGAATTTCTTATGTAACATGTTATGAAATATTATTTTATCAACAATTTTAAAATGCATGAACTATTCTTAGCTCCTGGGCCACATAAAAACAATATGGTGGGTTCCTCAATAAGCAGAACTCCTATATAACCTAGCAATTCTGATCAGACATATACCCAAAAGCAATGAAAATAAGATAGATGTTTAAACAAAAACTATACACGAACGATCATAACAGTACTGTTCAAAATGGCCAAAGGTTAGAAACAACCCAAAATATCCATCAAGAGATAAATGAATTTTTAAAAAGTGATAAACAGATATTAACAGAATATGATTTGGACAGAAAGAACCACTAATACATCCAACAACATGGGTGAAACTTGGAAAGTTTATAGCAAGTGAAAAAAAACCCAAATATAAAAGGCCACACATTATATGCTCTACATTTAAATGTAGTATTGAGAATAAGTAAATCTAACTACAGAAAGCAGATTTGTGGCTACCAGAGACTAGCAGGAGAGGGGAAGAAAGGATCACTGCTTAATGAGTATGAGGTTTAAATTTCGGGTGATGAAAAAGTTCTGGAAGTAGACAGCAGTGACAGCTATACAACATTATGCTAATAACTTAATGCTAATAACTGTACGCTTCAACATGTTCACAAGGGGTCAATAATCCATATGTCTCGCTGCCAGGCAGCTCTGATCTGAATGTGTTAGGTTCCCACAGTGGTACAAGTCACCTGATGGGACAGTCACACATGTACCACTGGTGGTTTAAGCTGGCAGGAATGTGTTAAAATGGAATTATATGTTATATGTTATTTTGTTGCAATAAAAAAATTGGGAAAATAAAAAAATCAAAGAAGTGGCAACTAGACTTGGCCCACAGGCTATATTTTACTCCTAAACTAGAGTATTAAAAGGAAGCTCAATATGCAAATGGAAGCATAAACACACTTAAAGGAGGGCTATAAATAACATAAACAGTGCAACACTGCCATCTATTGCCGAGTGAGGGGCTACTCAAAATTTAAGTGGTTTGGAAGGCCAGGGATTTAGCTCAGCACGCCAACACCTGCCTCGCAAGCACAAGGTCCTGAGTTCAATCCCAGGTACCAAAAAAAAAAAAAAAAAATTTAAGTGGTTTGGTAGATATTTAAGACTTAAATGTTTTAACATCCTCATTGTTCAGCATGTACCAAACATTGTATGAAAAAGCAAAAAAAGACGGTAATCGTATTTCATATGGCAAAAAATTCAAGAGAAAGTATTCAACAAACTACAGTATATTATAATGATCTCATTTTCTTAGCTAAAAATGGGTGTGCCAAGTTAAAGCTATACATGTAACAAACCTGGTAAATAGTTTCTAAATCCACAACTCAGGCACAGAAAAGGACCACAGACACAGATGCTTCAGTGGGAAATCCCCGAAATGTCCCTATTCTTTGCAAAGCATAAGCCAGAAAAACAGATGCCTCTCATCCTGCCCTACTTGTCCTTTAAATGGTACAGAACACTGTTAGAAGAACAAATGTTAGAGACTGTGCCAACTTTTCTTGATATATACTCTCCATAAAATCCTCCTTACCACGTGACTTCATTTTTATTATATTCTGTATGGACCAAACATACATTTAGGGGGAATGGGAAGAAGCAAGATATATCATGTATAGGTACAAATTCTCTACAATGAATGTTATCATTATTTGTATCTAAAATATACCAATAATGGTTTTGCTTCAAAAAACAAAAACAGGGTCAGGGATGTAGCTCAGCAGCACAGTGCCTGCCTGGCAAGCACAAAGTCCTGAGTTCGATCCCTAGTACTGGGGAAAAAAAACCCCAAAACAAACATACATTTAACTAATTTCCCACCCTTTTAAACTATAAACATGTTAATAATAGATAGGATTATCTATCCCTTTTTTTTCTGAGACAGGGTCTCCCTATGTAGCTCAGGCTGTCCTCGAATTTGGGGCAATCCTCCTGTATTAGTCTCCCAAGTGCTAGGATTACAGCCATGTGCCACAATACCTGGCTCCCATTCTTTCTTACATCCCAGCAATATTCCATGACTAATCCTGTTGATATTGTGTCTGTCTTAACCAACTGATCCAACACACTTCTCTGCTGCTCATGTCCTACCTCAGTATCAGTTCTTTTCCTATGAATTAAGCCAAACTTCACCTTATGTATCTACTTCAGACATCATAAACAGGACCAAAACTAAATTCTGGCTTTAAGTCAGGGATGATAGCATGCCTGTAGAACCAAGCCTATGGTCCCAGTTTCTCAATGCAGCTGAGGCATGAGGACTTCTAGTGCTTAGAACAACACAGCAGGACTATGTTTCAAAAAATAAAAATCTGGCTCATAAATGAACATATTTATAAAAATATTAGAGATGAGGAAGCAATGCCATAAATTACACAATTTGTATCCCGATTATCTGGTAAAATCTATGTTAGGCCAAATAAAGTGGATCTTTTTAATCATAACAATTTGACAAGACCTAACAATTCAGCAACAAATGCAATAATCACTCAAATTGGACTTTGGCTTTCTCATTTATTAAACATACAGACATTAACAGGCACTCTTACTGTTTCCACAGGTAATTTTTTGTTTAGTGTCTTTTTTTTTTTTTTTTTTGGTTTTTTGAGACAGTCTTGCTATGTAGTTCAAGGTGGCCTGGAACTCACTATGTAGCCCAGGCTGGCCTTGAACTCCGGGCAATCCTTCTGCCTCAGCCTCCCAAGTGCTGGGATTAGAGGTGTGCGCCTGGCTTTTTTTTTTTTTTGGAGTCAGGATCTCATCATATATCTCAGGTTGGCCTTGAACTTGCTATGTACCCCAAACCGGCCTTGACACAATCCTCCTGCCTCAGCTTCCCCCTGCTGGGATTACAGGCACACACCACCATGCCTGGCTTCCACAAATAATTTTTTTTTTTTTGGTACCAAGGACCAAACTTGGGACCTTGAGCTTACAGGGCAGGCAGCAGCACCACTGAGCTAAATCTCCGGCCCCCACAGTAATTTTTATAGGGAATGAAAATACAGCGGTTTCTGAATCAACTTAAGAAATGTAAAACTATTAGAAGTGATTAAAGGCTGGGGATTTAGCTCAGTGGCACCATGCCTGGCTTGTAAGCACAAGGTCCTGAGTTTGATCCCTGATACTGCAAAAAAAAAAAAAAAAAAAAAAAGAAGAAGTGATTAAATTAGTAAGGCAGAAAAAGAAGAGAAAGTATAAAGAGCAATAGATTCTCTTGTTGGATCGACTTTTACCTTAAATTTAGGAACAAATCTAGTAAATTCCTGGTGCCAGTTGTTCAGTGTGGAAGCAGGTGATATTATTAAGAAAGGCCCCCAAATGTTCTCTCTCTGCAACAGAAAAACTAGTCAGCCAACTGTAGGAAAACTGAAGATAATTAAATTAAAATTATAATTAGTTGGGACAGGGATTTAGCTCAGTGGTTTCGCTGCCTGCTGCACAAGCGCAAGGACCCAAGTTCAATCCCCGGTACCAAAAAAAAAAAAATTATAATTAGTTAATGAAAACAGCACTTTAAGAACAGTTCATGCATTATAATAACAGAAATATTTCACCAATTTCAAAATCTGCACATTCAGTAACGGTGAGATATATTAATATAACAAAGGAGGGAAAAACACGAAGCAACTACTCCCTTTTCTGACCTCTTGCAGGTCTTAATTTATATCACTCACAAAGCATTTATGGCATACTGACTTCTATGTACTATTCTGCCCTATACTAAGTTATCATAAAATTTTACTACTATTTAATTGGTATAGAGCTTTTCCTTTTCTTAAAGTGTGTATTTGCATATATTTCTCATTTAATTTTCACAAAATTCCTGTACAACAGACATTATTCATACTTTAGTTTAAAGGAAACTAAGTCTCAAGAGTTGAAGTGAAGTTAGTTCAAAAGAGGTTAAGGGGACTGCCCAAGTTTATATGGCCAGGAAGGGTTGCTGAGATGAGAATGCAGCTTTTCTGATCCTACTCCAGCATTCTTGCCACTACATTGGAGATTCTCATTGGAGGATGGGAGGCAGTGATTCAAATCATACATGATCAAATCCTGTCCTGGCCTCCATGAAAATCAGAATGTTCACTATTCCATGCCTTGTAAAGGCTTTGGGGCAAGGATTAAATCTTGCTGTGTAGGTCTGTTTCAGAGCTCAGCACAGTGCTTTGAAAAATGCTGATTCTCAACAGAAAAATGTCCCTAAATTCTGGAGAGAGGAACATTGAGAAATTGAATCTACCCACCTCAGCCAAATGGGCCAGTAGGGCAATGCTCTGTACTGTTTTGCCAAGGCCCATTTCATCAGCAAGAATGCCATTAATACCCTGGGGGAAAAAAGAATATACTGTCAATACTTCCTGCATTTCATCACAAATGGTTCTACTTATTGCCAAAAAGAACTAACCAAGATGATAGGCCTGATTAAGAGAAAAGTGACTGGAGATACCTTCTAGTACCATTATCTATCGCCATAATGGTTTCTTCTTGCCAATGCCAGAGCTACAACTGTGATTCATGATATACGAATCAATAAGCCAAAGCCAGTTCTTAGCTAATCTAACCCAGACACAAAGGCAAACAATCAGATTTACCAAGACCACCTAAGACAAACTATATCATGATGCAACATTCTCCAGTAAAATACACAGGTTAGAAATATAGAAACAGTGTTCTGCTTCTTGTCAAAACACAAAACTTTCAAAGAATCCATTTCACAGCTACATCAAACTAAAAAGAAAACAGATAATAAACAAAAGAAGAGAATAGGCATGACATAGTTCTAAAATTTACCTGCTCATAGAGATTAGCCAACCAATTCATTCCTTTTAGCTGGTAACCTTTTAGTTTGCCATTGAAAACTGTGGGCTGTGGAATATCCTCACCAGCCCGGATAGATGGGTTTGCCAGACTGTAACTCTCCCCAAACCCAGTGCCAGACTTGTTTGCTGCCCGAAGGGCAGCTGCTCGACTTTCTTTTGCATCTTCATCAAATGACCTTGTCTAGAAAACAAAAAGATATTAAAAAGAAAAAATATTAAATGGAAATAAAATTCACAACAACCTATCTACACTACACTAAGAAAACTAAATGGAGGCTGGGGATGTAGCTCAGCGGTGCCGCACCTGCCTCGCAAGCACAAGGTCCTGAGTTCGATCCCTGGTACCAAAAAAAAGGAAAAGAAAACTAACTGGAACAGAATTTCTGATAATTTGATACTATATCATATTACATATAATGATACATTATATTAAAATATATTACTAATAGCATTGTTACTGACAAAGTATATTAAAAATATGTTTTGAATGGACATACAATAAGCCATGTTACATTATTTAATACAGCAAGGAATTTGTTAAAGATTTGATAGAAAATCTGTCTGATTGGTTGAAGATGGTAAGGGAAGGTAGCATTTATGTCTATCTTTCATTTGGACCCAGTCAAAGTTACAAAGAGGCTCTTATCTAGTATTTTAAACTACCTTTTCTTTACTTATTCAACCTAACTGATTTTATTAAATATCTCTATATTATATACAACAGAGCAAGTTATACTAAAGTGAAAGAATGTGGTAACTTAGCAATTTCTTCAACACATACGGCTTCTGTAATAAGCTAAGAGTATACTCTTTTTCACCAAACAACCAAAATAATGTATTTCATACTATATTATCCATCATTACTTAAGAGGGAACACACACATGGCAGGCAACACTTTCTAACATTTAGACAAGGGAATGTTTATTATTCTGTCTTTCTTCAAGTATTCCCACTATTCTAAAGGAAACAGAGACACATGGCCGCTCTATGTACATAGTCACATGCTGACTAATGCTTTCACTGAAAATGTGACTAAGAATAAAGGAAGAACATTAGCAAAAGATTGTGGGATACTTCCAGGGCCAATTACAGTATATATTTTCATTGTCAAGACTCACCCGGGCTTGGTGAATATGGTAAGCATTTTCAGCATTCTTCAAGGCCTGAGCTTTAAAATGGTTACTATCTGAAAAGGAAAATTTGTAGATTATCACCCCTTATCTCTTCCAAAGGCAACTGACATCGACATATGTGGATCCTGATTTCCCCATTCTACTTATTCCTAGGCTCATGAAGGATGGAGGAGAGGAAGGGTAAATACTTTGACAGAGGCCAGGACCTAGAAATGAAAGGGAGGCAAAGAACTGTCATGGCCTCCAGCAGCCAAAACTAGCTAACAAAAATTACTAGGGGGGGGCCAAGCATGGTGCCGCACGCCTGTAATCACAGCACTGAGGAGGCTTGAGGCAGGAGGGTCACTGCAAGTTCCAAGTTCAAAACCAGCCTTGGGCCGGGGATTTAGCTCAGTGGTGCTGCTACCTACCTCGACAGCGCAACGTCCTGAGTTCAATCCCCGGTACCAAAAAAAAAAAAGCAAGCCTGAACACAGAGCTGGACCCTGTCTCACCCCCTACCACCACCACCACATCACCAAGGGGGGTGAAATCCACTGTCTCTCATTCCTGTAGAGTCTTGGTTTTGGGTCTCACCTTTTTAAAAAAACTTTATTAGTACAAAATGTTTACATTCCTTATGGGAAGTTGTACATATGCATTAACACATCTTAATTCAATTTTTCACCCCCTTTTCCTTCCCTCCCTCCACCCATGACTTGATCCTCTTCCCCTTTAAGAATGATCCATCTCCTTACTTCCTATTATCTATCTTTTATTTTGCCTGGAGATTCTTCTACAAAGTGATACCAGTAGTCAGGACAAATGAGACCATGATGATTCAAAACTATATTTATGCTGGGTGAAACTATTTAAGGAAATAAAACATAGAGATGTGAAACCCTCAAAACACACTGAAGCATTATCATTAACTTTTATTTCCAGGTAAACATGCTCTTGGGCACTACTCTCTGGGAAATACCTCTTAAACTTTACTCAGATTCCTCCTTCCCCTTCTGGTCATGAAAATACCATAACTGAACAGCCTCTATCTTATGCCTGTATCATCAAAAATCTTTTGTGAGAAAGGATTTTCTCTGCTGAGACATGTTCTGTTTTCTTATTTTTGTTTTTGCTTTGTGAGACATGATCTCATTACATAGTCCGGGCTGGCCCTGAACCCACTATGCACTCCAGACTAGCTTCAAACTCACAATCCTCCTTCCTCAGCCTCCAAAATACTGAGATTATAGGTGTGTGACATCATACCCAGCTGAAAAAACTTATGTTTCTTTTCTAGAAGCATACTCTCCCTCCTCTAATACAATAAATCCTTCTTTCGTGATCAATATTACCTATGAATCAAGACAAAACTTCTAAGAATTAAAAACATATATAACCTTTGATATAAAAAATGCAGAGTACCTACTTCCTCTGCCTCCTAGCTCAGGACTCACCATAGTCTTCCTGTGCGATGTTTACTACTACCCCTCCACCAATGTCAATTTGTCTCTGGGTAGAACTGTCTTCCAGTTTCCTTAGGATTTCTTCCTGGATCCCATCATGACCCATGTCTCGCTTGCGGCTCATGAAATGGGCATACAACTCTGTCTGGGTGATCAAGAAGTTGAGTTTTCGTTGTTGCCTCTTGGCCTGAAGCAGAGGAAAGATGAAAGTAAAAAAACAGTGCCAAATCATCAATTATATCCAAGAGGGAGTGAATAGAATTCATTAAACCTTTACATAATTTACACATTCCTTTATAAATCCTTTATTTTAAAAAGGTAAAAAAATGCTAATGAACAATTTTACTCTAGCCAAGTCAAGGTACTAAAAAAGCAGAAGAAATAACTTTCATCTATAATCTAATAATGAACTATTTTTTGTTCTCTTACAATATAAAATTTTTTCTCCTTTAAGCTTCTATCTAAAATATTTACTTCTTTGTGGAAATATTTTTACATAATGGCTCTGAGACATCAAGAAAATTCAAACATAGTCTGTTTTAAGCCTAGATGGTAGACACAAGTGTTATTTTTTTTTTTGGTACCAGGGATTGAACTCGGGTCCTTCTGCTTGTGAGACAGGCAGTGGAACCACTGAGCTAAATCCCCAGCCCCACAAGTGTTATTTTTAAAAAGGTGAATGTGTCAACTCATCACCAAAATGCAAAGTAATTGAGCAGGAGCTACTCAACAAAGTCAAGAAGTAAAGTCAACAGAGCAGGTATGTGAGTATAACAGGCCAATCACATTCCTCAAAAGAATCTGTGGCTCATCTATAATGATGGCTACAAAATATTAATATAAACCAGGCACTGAGGGGTGAAGGGTTAGTCACAGCCCGTGGGAGGTAGAGGTGGGAGAATCACTTGAGCCCACAAGTGTGAGACCAGCCTGGACAACATAGCAGGCCCTGTCACCAAAAAACAAAACCAAAAACAAGCATACAGACCAAATACACATACACTATTTTTTTCATGCTGGGGATTAAACCCAAGGCCTCACACATCCTAAGCCCACCCTCTATCACTGAATTATATACCTAGTCTTATACTGGGTTTTTAAACTGTGAAAAAAACTAAATTGAAAGTGTCTAAACTAAATTAAAATTGTCTCAGAAATAGCCAGGTAGGGTTGGGGATGTAGCTCAGTGGCACCACACCTGCCTGGCAAGCACAAGGTCCTGAATTTGATTTCCAGTACCAAGAGAAAAAAAAAAAGAAAATAGCCAGTTAAGGAAAATAATCATTATGTCAATAAATAAAGTCATTAGGATAAACAATAAAATGAGTAAATAATAAAAAATTACACTGAGTATAGCAATTCTATAACACCAATTTAAAGTCATTATTTTAAATAATTCTTTTATACTAAAATTCACATAAAGTATATTTGATTTATCCTTGACCATCTCCCTAAAAACAATAAAATAAGGAACACAGCAAAGAAAGGACAAAAGTCCCAAAGAATATTCTGTGATTGTATACCATGTAAAATTAATCCTTTCATCTTTCAGACTTTACAATACTTGATCCAGATTTAAATTAGAAGAAAATGTGAGAAAACTCAGGTTTTTCTCTTAAAGGATGTTTGTATCTCAAAGCTTAAGTGCTATCAAAAAAGCCTTTCTAACTAAAACAATTATGGAAAAGAACAAGATCTTCTTTTCACCTTAAAGTACCAGATGTTTTAACTGAGATAAATTAAGAGAACAAACTACTGAGAAAAAAACACACAGGGCTGGGGATTTAGCTTAGTGGTTCTGACGCCTGCCTTGCAAGCACAAGGACCCAAGTTTGATCCCCGGTACCAAAAAAACCAAAAAACCTGTAGGTCAATATAACCATGTTGAGAGAATCTAGGTCTCATAAACCTGGTTGATAAACCAAGCTACTTATAAAAACCTTTAAAATCAGGCAGGGATTTAGCTCAATGGAGCCGCAACTGCCTGGCAAGCGCAAGGACCCGTTTGATTCCCAGTACCAGGAAAAGGCCCAAAATAATCAAAAAGCTTTAAGATCTATAGCTAACTCTCAAGTGCCTCTAAACTCAGTGTGTTAAGAAGTCTCAATAGCAATGAACATTTCCTAGCTCAGCAACACATTTTGTATGCAAAGGTAAAAAGTTGTCCCAGGGCTCAAGAGATGTGGGCAAAATCCATATTCTTGTTCTTTTGTTTTTTTGGTACCGGGGATTGAACTCGGGACCTTGCACTTGCGAGGCAGGCGGTGGAACCATTGAGCTAAATCCCCGGCCCTAAAATCCATATTCTTCCTCAAAGCCATGATAAAGGAAGGATAATCAAGAGCTCCTCTTCGTTGAAGAGTACCACACATATCTGAAAGAAAACACTGACTGCTCATTCACTGATGTCCTTCCTTCTGCAAACCTCAACTTTCCTCAACTTTTCCATTCCTCTCAATTGTTTTCTCAATGGCAAAACAGTAACTTACTTCCATTTGCTCTCCCCAACGATATATAGTATATAGCTTAGATCAGCTGACAACAGGTTCAACAACATGGGTCACAAGCCAGGCATGGTGGCACACTCCTGTAATCCCAGCACTCAGGAGGCTGAGGCAGGAAGATCACCAGGAGTTCAAGGCCAACCTGGGCTACATAGTGAACGTCAAGGCCAGCCTGAACTACATAGCAAGACTCTGTCTCAAAAAAACCTGAAAAAAAGGCCAGGCACAGGGCACACTCCTGTAATCCCAGCACTCAGGAGGCTGAGGCAGGAGGATTGCTGTGAGTTTGAGGCCACCGTGGGCTACATAGTGAGTTCAAGGACAGGCTGAACTACACAGTGAGACTCTGTCTCAAAAACAAACAAACAAAAAAATAAAACCCAATATGGGCCACAAGCTGAAACAGTAAAATAGATGCTGGAGGAGGGGGAATCTCAAAAAGCTGGGCTAATTGCAGTTTCTATTTGTTCCTCAATTTACACCTAGCCCCGACTATCCAAAAAAATCATACAAGCACTTGGAAACAAATTATGATTAACTATTAGATCCTTCTTTCTCTTTTGCTCATTCCTTTTGTTGCTCTTGCTGCTTCTCCAGATATACAGAAGAACATGGTTGCACAGAATAGAGGAAGAGAGCACAGAAGAAAAGAGATAAAAGGCTCAGGGGAATGCTTTTCTGAATGAATAAAAATTATGTGTTTAAAAAACACTTGGTGGGGCCGGGGATTTAGCTCAGTGGTTCCGCCACCTGCCTCGTAAGCGCAAGGTTCTGAATTTGATTCCTGGTACAAAAAATACACAAAAAACCCGCCTGGAGCTAGGAGTATAGTTCAGTGGCAGAACTCTTGGCCTAGCATGCACAAGAACCTTGGGCATAATACCCAGCATCACAGAGGGGAAAAAAAAAAGGAAAAAATTAATTTTTGACAATTTGGTTCAATGTGTAGTTTTCAAAGTACAAACCAATCTCTTAATATGGTGGTAGTGATTAGAGTTTTGAAAATTTCATGTTTTCCCCTATGTTATGGCTTAAATCTAGACGTCCCCCCGAAAACCTCATGCGGTCACAGAGGGGGAATTTAGAAGGTGGCTGGATTAGGGTGAGTGAATGTGGATTACGTGTGTGATGCTGGGATTAAGGGTGGCCCACCCTGGGTGTCGGTGGTACCACTCAAAAGGTGAATAGCCTGAAAGGGACAAAAGGGAGAGAAGCAAGCTGCTGCCACTGCTTCACTGCTCATTGTTTTCTGCTTGTGAACTGTTTTTCCTCTGCAATGCACCTCTGCCATGCCACCCTGCCTTAGAGCCACCAGACTATGGACTGAAACCTCTACAAACTGAGCTGAAGTAAACCTTTCCTCCTGTAACTTCAGGTGTCAGGTAATTTGTCACAACAAAGAGAAAACCTAAGATACCATACCTCCCGCATTTCCTCATCCAACTTCCGCTGCTCCAAAGCTTCCTTCTCTGCACGCTTGCGATGTTCCTTCTCTACCTTCTCATATTTCTTCCAGTACAGAAGCATCTCCTTGGTGAGGCGGCGAGCACGAGGCAAAGTCTCCTTACAGTTCTTCTGGGCCTGCAGGGCAGCTCGACGCACCTCCTTCATGCACTGGTGGGCAAGCTGAGAACAGCAACATCATCACGACAGGGGAGGACTCAAGACCAGGGACAGCTTTCCCTGGACTCTAAACTACATCATTCCTCAATCTATTTAGCAGGAACAGTCCTCTCAGGGCCACATCTCTTTCTCCCCCAACGTGATCAATGTCCTTATAAAATACTGCAACCCAACCTTGAAGGTAATATGCGGTATAAGAAATCTATCCACATCGACCACTTAGAAGATGAAACAGAGTACAATGACTAAGATATATGGGTTAAGTTACAAAGTGTTATCAGGCACATTAATAATACCTATTATTACCTATTACTACTTTCAGTTTAATATATATTAATTTATTCTTCAAAACAACTCTCTGAAGTTAGTATTATTATCTCTATTTTATATATGAGGAAAAGCTCAATGACTAGTCCAGAGAAACACAACTAGTATTGTTACCTCATCTGATCTTCACAACCCTCAAAAGATGTGCTACTGCCCTCTAATGGAAGATATTCACATCAGCATTTCTTAGAGGAAGAAACTAAGAAGTAGACTCTACGATCTCCCCAAGGAATCAAAAGTAGACTATGGTTTCATGCAAAAAGGACCAAATACCAAAAATGTAAGGAAGAATAATTTTACTTAATAGATTAAGAATATTTATAAACTCTCTTAGATACTATTAGATTTATGATCAACAATCAACAGACAAGAATACTAGCAAGAATACATGGAAAGAAAATGAAAGAGAAAATATAAAACTACAATGTTACCTTTCGGCTATTAGTGAGAAACAGGTTCCGAGCTGAAGCTTTCTGCTTGTTGGCCTAAAACATTTAAAAGTAATATTTTTTTTAGGATTCACTTTTTGAAATACAATTATGTAGACATTTTTATTTAATTCCTAAAGAACTAAAAAATAAAAGGTCAATTATACACATACAAAATACATTACTTCTAAAAGCTACCCAGATGTACTGTCTTGGCACCTATAAAACTATTACAGAAATATTAAGAATAAGCTAGTGTTGCAGCTTCCTTAAAACCCTGTGAGCATAACATTGGGTTATAACAGCCCATCCCACACTTTTCTACTATAAATTTTTATGTCTTAGTAGCTGTGACTGAGAGATACAGGAAGCAGGTTTTTTGGGGGCGGGGAAGAATATTTGTGTTTATTCACTTGGTATAATGAACAGCAAAGTATGTGCATGTGTGCAAAAGTGTCAAACTAGGAATTTTATCCACATAAGGCTCTAACAAGTTTTGTGTATGTTTACCTGAGTATCAGTGGGTAAAATACATTCAGACCACTCTTTTGTTACAAAAACATGTATTTTACCATAATGAAATGTGGGTGTGACTCACAGTTGCTGCACCTGGGGAAAGCAAAAATTCATTTGTGCATTCACCCACTTCACAGATGAACAGCAAGGTGTATACAGGAGCTTCAAAACAGCAACAGGGGTTTTATCCATGAAATGCTCATCGTTAAATTTCTGTGCATTTAGGATTTGTTTTTTAAAGTTTTCTTTTGATTTTTCTGGTAGAAGTATCCCAATTCAGTACAATGGCGCATGAAAAACCAGATCTGTAAGTTTCAGAGGAGGTCAAAAGTGAATCATCAGATTACTCATGCATGGATGATGAAGATGATAATGACTTTGATGTTAGCCATGTGAGCCAAAGTTCCTGTGACAGTGAAATGGAACAAGAATTGACTGATACAGACACAGGAAATACAGACCTCCTTGACTCAGGTGATGAAGAAAACATTAATGTGAGTGCATACTTGACTAGTCAAAATGTTGGAAAATGGTCACAGAACGGATCCAATGTTAAAACTAGGTCTGAAAATATAGTGAGGAATTTGGCAGGGGTGAAACCTATTGGACAGAATGCTGGCACTGCCATTCAATGTTGGAAACTGTAACAGATGAAATGTTACAAACTGTTGTGAAATACAGAGGCTGAAATACAAGTAAAATGTTCCGTATGCACCAATAGCCATATTAAAAAATGTATTTTTATGACATTTCACTAGCTGACCTGAAAGCATTCATAAGTCTGCTGTACTTAGCAAGGATTTCTCATGGTAATCACAGAAATACAAAAGACTTGGGCTGGGGATTTAGCTCAGTGGTTTCACCACCTGCTGAGCAAGCGCAAGGACCCGAGTTCGATCCCCAGTACAAAAAAAAAAAAATACAAAAGACAGAAGAACAATGGGTCCAAATATGACATATAAATTTATGCCCCTGTAGATGTGATGACTTATTATGCTTTCAATTTAGAAATTTATCCTGGAGCTCTGCCACCAGGACTTTCGCTACTTGCTTTTTTTTGGTACCAGGGATTGAACTCGGCTCCTTGCGCTTTCGAGACAGGCGGTGGAACCACTGAGATAAATCCCAGGCCCTACCAGGTCTTTATTCATATAGTAATAGACCAAGTGTTGTGAACAGACTTGTTGCTCCTCATCTCCCAAACTAATCAAAATGTGACGTCTGACAATTGGTTTACCAGCTTCCAATTAATATTATATTTGCTAACAGAGCACAAGTTGACCAGCACAGGAACCGTACACAGGAACAAAGCAGAAATTCCAAATGAAATGTTGCAATTTCAAAACAGAGAATTGTATAGTACAATCTTTGGATCTGAGAAAGATTTACATTGCCCTCATATATGATAAAGAAAAACTGGTACACTGCTGATGTCAACATTGCACCTTGATGGAAATTTCAATAGGGAAACCTCAACAAAACGGAAGCCCGAGATGGAAACCTTCTACAACAAAACCAAAGGTGGAGTAAATGTTGATGAGTTAGGCAGCAACTATGATGTCACTAGAAACACAAAACGTTGGCCAATGTTTGTGTTTTACTCAATCCTAAATGTGTAGCATAAATAGTTTTGATAGTTTACAAAGAAAATAACAAGTGTAAAATATCCCAGAGAAATTTTCTTAAGAGGATTGGGACTGGAACTCATAAGAGATCATTTACAGCAGAGGAAAAGCAAAATGTTTCTGTCCAGGGAACCATGCCAAAATATTGTGGAGCACACTGGTGAGCTGACAGGTGAACAGGCAGATGCAGCATCACAAAGACCTACTAAGACAACAGGAAAACCAAAAAGATGTCCACTTTGCCCTACAATAAAGGACAGGAAAACAAAACATACACACTATTGCTGGGGATTTAGCTCAGTGGTTCCGCCGCCACCTGCCTCACAAGCCAAAGACCCGAGTTCCATCCCCATTACCAAAAAACAAAACAAAACAAAACAAAACAAAATACACACTATCAGTGTAAGCGATACTGTGTATGGAGCACGCAGTTTTCATGTGTACAGACTGCCTTGGGTGTGAGAGTTGAAGCAGAGATTATTTCTGAGGTAGAGTTTTGTAGCTCACATAGGTTTTTTTTTGTGGTACCGGGGATCAAACTTGGGTCCTTGTGCTTGCAAGGCAATTGGTGGAACCACTGAGCTAAATCCCCGGCCCTCACATAGGTTTTTATTTCTAATGCTATCTTTCAGGTTTTGTAAGCAAGTAAACAGCTGATGTGAAAATGTCGATGTCTATTCTAAGGACTCATTATATATTTGATATTTTATTTTATTGATACCTTATTTTCCTGCTAAGTGCATGTTGTACAATATAGTAGGAAGCTCCTGACAAAACAGGAAGAGAAGAGAGGTGACAAGAATGGCCTGCTGGCTGAGCGTGATAGCACACACCTATAATCCTAGCATTTGGGAGGCAGAGGCAGGACAACTGCCATGAATTTGAGGCTAGCCTCAACTACACAGCAAGACTCTTGTCTCAAAAAAAAAAAAAGAATGGCCTGCCACATAGGAAAGGAAAGCTAAGCACATATGCTGTCAGTGTAAGTGAGATGTATGCATGGAATACACAGTTGTCATGTGTGAAGACTGCCTTGGGTGTGACAACTGAGATAAAGATAATTTTTGCTGTGGAATTCTATTGGTATTTTCATTGTGGTTCATATAGGACTTTATTTCTGA